CGAATATCTCTTCACTTGGCGAAGCCACAATCGAGTGCCAGAATGCATAGAACTCATCCCAAGCGTTGTCCCCTGCCTGATTTGTCGCTTGGTCGCCCACCAGCGTAAAGGCAGGCCGGCAGTGCTGGAGGACTGCCTTATTGACATGCCAGAGGCAAAGTAGTGCTTGAGAAGAAGAGAACCATGTTGCCGCAGCATTCATCGCAGCTAGGCATCGATCGGTCAAGACGATGGAAGGCAGCTCATGCTGATAGAGTGACTTGAGATGTTGTAATGCCCATGAGTAGTCCTCCTCCGATTCACCGGAGAGAAATGCAAATGCAATGCAAAAAGAACGCTGACAAGAGTCTACTCCAACCATGTCAAGGAGTGGCATCGCGTGTTTATTTGTCTTGTACGTGCAATCCAACAACAAGACATCCGGGTTGTGTTGGAGATACGCAACAGAGTCTGGGTGGGCGAAGAAAATAGCTGTTAGCCGATTATCCGAATCCAATTGGACCCGGCACAAAAAACCCTCGTCATGCAATTGGTCAACCAATGCTTGGATACTGCTCTGGCCTTCACGTAGGTCTCTTCTGGTGGCCGCAATACGGTTGTAGATGTCTCGTTGAGTAGCGAGTGTATCTGAGTTATTATGGAGATATGTCCTGATATCTCGAGGAGCAGCGCCAGACTTTGTCAGATTCGAAATAGTTGTGGCATCTCGCTCTTCAAGGCGGCGATGTGCTGGGTGCGCAGATGGGTCTTCGCTGGGTGGGTGATTATGCTGGGCGCACTCTTTGTCAGGCCGATGCCCGAGTACCCACGTTCTTCCATCCAATGATTGCTTGGCCAGAACCGAGAACCTGCAGCCTGTTTTTCGACTCGAGGTACGGCGTGCTCGTTCGGTAGAGTTGCTCGGTGGTAGTCTGTTGCGATCGCATGCGTACACTATTTTGACCCGGCCGCTTGGGGTCTTTGAAGACTTTCCTGTCGTGAATGTAGGGCTGATATTTGAAGATTTTGAAGTCGAATCGGCCTCGGGACCCTTGAATTGAATGAAGCCGAATCGGGTAAGGTCTTCAAATTCGATGAATCAAAAATCAGGAGTCTTTATTCAATTCATTCATCAAAATCTTGAATGAATGGCGATATGGTCGAAATATACGGTGAAAAAAAGGATCACCCCGCTTCGCAGCTGCCAGCCAAGGGGGCATACAGGGGAGGAATGGGCTAATGCCCAAAGCCACCCACCAAGGGCCTCCTTTTCTTTCTGAGCAGTGTCAGAAACAGCGGTTCTGCGGCTCGTCCGAATGAGGAAGGTGGCAACGATAGTGGGCACACAGAAGAGGTCAATGGAGCTATATGCACGGCTGTGTGTGTAAAGGCGATGTGTGTTGCCCCCTTCCGGCTAGGAATGTGCCCCTTTTGGGCCCGCAGAAATCTCGGCTGAATGCCCCACGTGACCTGGCAGGTGACCCATGCCGCCCTTCCTGCTGCGCCGTTCCAACAAGCAGACACACACGTACACATCAAGAAACAAGCTGCTTTGACCCCATCATACCTGTTGGCAGGGCTCGAGCATGAGACAAACTGGGAACGTCGTTCAACCGGTGTGTCGTATTATGCTATGAGGATTGTCTTCTATCTAGGAGGAGAGGCCAGCGTGGAAGATATAGCCACGCAAGCCTCAGCCGCACACGTGACCCTAAGGCCACATGCTGACCGTGTGATCTAGATACAATTGACGAGCATGATTCCCACAATACCAATAGATTCCACAATGCACTTTCCCCATTAGGCACGCCACAGAACCACCGTTCTGACAGGAGCAAGGGGTTCGCCCCGCGCGGACATGGTAACTTCGAAATCGGCCGCCCATGCGATGACGCACTGCGTATTTAAAAGTCTGTTGTGCGTGTTTCAGTTGGATTCCGCCGTCCACACTCCACTGGGAAAATCCCAGTGGGTTGGAAGTGGGGTAGTTAGGGCGTCCATATATGTTGGTATAACGACCTAACAGTGCCTGATACGCCCACCGTTTCAGCAGTCTTGCCACCCTATACGGAGTATCAAAAACCATGAAGCTTATGAACAGTGCCATTTTATAATGCACACCATTTAAATGTAGTATCACTCGAATGTTCTGGATTTTCTGGTTCGGGTGATATAACTCTCGATATCTGTGCTTAACATTTGCTCAAGAAATGCCACATCATCCTGAAGGCAATAAATAGATCGGTCATTTGCTACTTGCAAAACTACATCTCAAGCACAGATTAAGCTCGGCAGCCCAAATTTTTGAAATATAATACAAGACTTATACCGTTAAACAGCCTCCGGCAAACTGATTAGAAAACGCGTTCAGATCCTCAACGTCTCAATACTGCGCGAACAATTGGACGTGACACGAATTGCGTCATCTCGCGATTTGGAGACTGTTAGGGACTTATCTACTCATCGAGCCCAATATGACTGCTACTTGCTTGTCCACAAACTAGCCCGATCAGAAAGTACCGAAACATCTGCATGATAAGGATATGTTGTGCCAACTAGCCGCGTTTAGACGCGTTATTCGCGCTCAATTGACCACCTGTTAATTCTACTGTCGGAAAGACACGGTCGTCAGCCCATCCCACATTTTTGCCTGCATTGGGCAACGGTCTTCGCGACAACTGTCACGACATTATTTTACGACGATCTCGCCTAATTCCTGCTTCGATGTTTCCGACAGCGGCTTCGGGTCGGCCCCCGAATCAACGTCCTGCCCGACGACCTATCCCACCCGTTCAACCTCGACTCCGTTATACTTTATTGTGGGTTATTTGGTGTCGTCCCGACTACCTGTCTCACGTCCATTCTCGAGCCTTTTAGCCTAGACCAGGTAAAACTTCATTACTGTCCAACCGATAGCTAATTATAACATGATACATAGTATGGCCCCTGCTGAATCGAAAACAGCTGCCGCAGCGAATTTCTTTGCTCCTAGGACCCGGCGTAAATTGCCAACGCAGAGTTATGCCCGCATTGAACGCCCTCAATTCAACCTCAGAATCCCGCGCGCGCGCCCTGATCCTAGCACAACTCCGGCTCCTTCGTCCCTCCTCCGACTGGCAAAGATACGATTGTCTGCGCGCCCCCGGGCCATCCTGACTGTGAGTCAGATGATGACATGCCTGACGCGGATACATCAGAGCCGCCATTGAACAGTACCGGTAGTCACATGACGCTCGCAGAGAAAGCCAGACTTATCAAGAAGTGGGCCGACAACAAACAGAAGCATGTTCGCAAGAAGAGAGACAAGAATAGCCACGTTTATTGGTACATGCAGAGGAAGCCATAGACAGAAGCTTTTACTCGGAGTACAAGGATGGACCGAAAATATTCCAAGAGTTCCGGTGGACTTGTATAGAGTGCCTTCAAAATCCTTCTACTCTTCGGAAGATATTCCAGGTCCTTGAATCGAACCGCCGAGGGTTACCTCTGGCATGGGAGACCATTTAAAATCCCACAGTATTACGAAGGAGTCTCACCACGGTCGAATCAATGGATACGGCCGCGCCATTGGTGGAGGAGATTATACAGAGGTAGATGCATGGAGCGGTCGACCCAGGCAAAGAGCAAGGCTCACGGCAAAGGAGTCTATCCGCCAGTGGTTTGTAAAACACCGACAACCCTTCTCTGTTGTTGAGAACTTGAGACTCCTGCTTTCCAAGAGATGTTCTTGGCTCACAATACAACCTGTGTGTACAGGAGCCGTATAACCTTACGCAATCACATCTACACAGACTTTGTGGAACGCAGAGAGAAGCTGAAGATCGAGCTTCAGTACAATTGTGCTACCATCTCGCTCACCCTTGATATCTGGACAGCACCGAATCGGGTGCCTATTTTCGCCATTATTACGCACTGGATTACGCCGGAGTTTGAGGAGAGAGGAGGTTATTGAGTTTATCGAGCTCAAAAATCTCACACTGGCAAACACGAGATAGTTGAGAAGACACTTGAGGAGCTCAGGCTCAAGCCAAAGCTTCTCGCCATTACGGGAGACAACGCCGCCAACAACGGCACGCTCTATTATTTGAAGACCAGACCACATTCCAATTTCCGGGCAAGCTGGTAGATGGTGTGAATATACCCTCATTGTTTGTGTATATGCTAATCTGCGTTCAGGCGAGAATCCTCCTCCTCAACCCCCTGCTCCGGCGGAAGTTCCCACCGAGGCTACTACCGAGGCTCCCGCCGAACCTCCTACCCCCCAAACCTCCTGCCTCCCAAGCCGATAAGTCTGCGATATCAACCCCCTGTCCAGATACAATGGAGGCTTCGGAGGATTGAGGCTCTACAAGTGTGTAACTGTGTACAATCGCGGATTCGAACGCGTTGGACCGATATATTTTGAGGATTCGGCAGAGCTTTTGAAAGTGCTTATTTTCGGTCCATTTGCCTAGGACGGGCGGATCAGTATTTATGTAAGTTAATTTTTGTAATATTCGAGATTATCGAGAGACTTCCCAGAAGGCTATAAAACCATATACTACTTATTGGCGTTTTCGAGGTATCTTTGCAATCGCTTAGGTACACACCAAATTCACTTCGTTTAGGGGGATTCCTTCAAACTATTCATGAATGGCCTGAATTGGCCCAAACCCAACTTGAATCGCGAAAATTGGAGCTTGAAGATTTTGAATCAAGATCCAAAAAATTCAATTCATTTGATTCATCCTTCATTCAAAATCTTCAAAAAATTCACCTTCGTCTATCACCCCTACGTGAATGCGTATCCTCGAGGCTTCGCCCAAGAGTTAATGGCCGCAAAAAGAGACTCTCGTGATTCGTATATGCCCTCCGGTGGAAGGACATCGTCGACAAAATTTGCTTCAGCCATCTGGCTGCTTGGCGACTCAATTGCTGGGAGAATGCGTCTCGCACACACCAATAGGGAACACGGTTTTGGGGCTTAGTCAGAAAACGCGCCCCGGGCGCCAATTCTAAAATGGCGCCCGGGCGCCAGTGTATCAGCCGCCGTGGACTGGGTGCGCGGAGAGGCTAATACTCCGTTCGTGATTATGCCGGCCGTGCTCGGGATCAGGCAATGCTCGTAGAGTCCACATATAGTTATTCCCTTCCAAGGCTTCCGCGATCACCTTCCACTTACAACCGCACTTGCGGGACCGCCTCTGGCGAAGCCCAGACCCTCTAGATGGGCGTGGCTGACCATACCGATCGCACTCAAATACGTAGCGTGTCTTCCTTATTTGACTTCCCGTGCCATTGCGCCTGACAACGCCGAACCCATTCGCCTTCGCGAATGCGTTCACCTCTGCGTGAAGGGCCTCGATCGATGGAGCTGCAGTACCGGGGATTGGCGGATTGGGAATAGGCTCAACGTCGCTATAATCGCCACACTCCCCGTCAGAGAAGCCGTTCCACTCTTCGTACTCCTGTCCATCTTGGCTGAACGACGATGCTAGTGAAGTGGGAGACAGGACGGGGCCATGGTGATCGTCTCCACGTTCCGAAGGAGCTCGGCCCAGGCCGGAGTCTTCTCGACACTTGGCCAACTCGCGAGCCAATAAGGAATCTGTCTCCGCCAGCTCCCAGGCCAAGATCAAGGCAGACTGGAAGCGGGCCACAATCTCCTTGCGAGCATCGACTTCTTCCACCTTCGAGAGGCGGCGTAGACGCTGTCTCTCGAGATTATCTGGGCCAGGAATTCCTGGGGTGAACAACCGCCGAGCCCCACCTCCTCGGAAGCTATCATCCAAGAATATTTGTGACTGGCGTAGTTTCCACCAGGGATCGTCGACGCCACGAGAGCCGTGTGGTCTCGGCAGGCTAGTGAAGTAGCTTTCCGGCTATGTCGCGAAGAGATTGTATGAGGCATCGTCATCGTTAAGGCCGTAATACGGTTCAGGATCGAAAGGAGGCCGAGGCCAAGCCTGAGATGCAAGTCTACGACGCTTGCAAGGAGGCAAGGATCCAATACAGCCGTCGCCGCTGTTGGTAGCGATTCGTTCTTCTTGCAACGTCATACCGATTGGTGCTCAACCGTATCAAATTATAGTTGCTCAGACAGAAATGTGGTTGTGGGGAAGTCGGTTTGACTACAGGCCGACACGTCTGGGATGTCACCCCGCCTTCTGGCAGGTGGGGCTCCAGACCCTTGGCAGAATTTCTGGCCCAATCAAAAGCCGCCGCCCGTATAAAGAGCGCCCCCGTAGTAAACCGGTTGGGCCCGCATATCAATTGCCCACTAGCAACTCTCCCCTGTAAAAATTCTTCTCTTCTGCGGGCTGTTAGCAGCCTGTTAGTGGATAATTATTTTCAGGTCACCCGACCATGCTTCTGCCTCTCTAGCCCTAACGGTGCTCTAGCAAGCACCAAAAGGCAGACTTTGGAGAGTTCGTCTCCTCTTGGGAAGCTGGTCTCGAATAACGGCATGCCTCGCGCTGCCTCGCCTTCTGCCGCCTCGCGGCATCGCCTTCTTCTGCCGTCTTTACTGGCTGGCCTCGACTTCTGCCGCCTCGCGGCCCCGACCTCTTCTGCCGCCTCGCGGCCCGACTTCTTCTCGCCCTTCCTGGCACGCCTCGCGCTGCCTCGCACCCTCTGCCGCCTTTACTGGCTGGCCTCGCCTTCTGCCGCCTTGCGGCTCTGCCTCCTTCTGCCGTCTCGCGGCTCCGAACTTTGCCGCCTTGCGGCCCTTTCTGCCGCCCAGCGGCCACGACTTCCTCTGGACTGGTGGGCCGCGGGGGCCCCGAGGAGCTACAAGAGCCTAGAGCTCAAGGCCTCACCCGGGTGTCCCCCGGAGCTGCACACCAATCGACAACACCTCCACCACCTGCTTGCTACGAGGAGCAGGCACGGGGACTTCGCCGACTGTCATAACCACGAAGTGGCCCCGAACGCTCCTGCGGGAGAAGACAATCGCCATCGGGGCGAATCCCCGACTAACATTGCTACACTCTCTGCTTCCTTTTTCTTTTATTTTTCTTTCTGCCCCGTAGGCCCTCCTCGAGGGCTTGCGGCCGGCCCATGACTTCGTGGGCTTTCTCAGTCACCCGGCCTCGGCCAAAGACTGACTACTATTACGGCTTCACTGCCGTGCCTGGAACCCGCTGACGGGGAAGGCCCCGAATTTCCGACCGGCCTCAGAGCCTCAGAATTGCTAGATGGAGTGGTTAGGTGCTACACACGGTCCTTAGTCCAGGTACTCGGGATATTCTATGTATCTAGTCTTCTCTAGCCTAGCACGTCTTTTGCCCTTTTAGGGATGTCCCAGACGGTAATCAATACTACTACTACTACTATAATTGCCCACTAGAAATTGGCCAATCTCACGATCCAAGGTATTGCGGCATGCAGAAACTCACGCATATACGGTAGAGACATCTACAAATTCTGCGCCACTTTTGGCTCCTAGTGATACACCCAAGAACCAGCCGCTAGACTCGCGGTTTCGGAAAGAACAAGGTTTCCTGGCACTTGGAGGCGTCATGCCGTGATAGCTAGAGGCTTTGAAGCCTAAGAACAAATGGTTTCTGAGCACAGCAACAGAATTGCGAAGCTGGAGGCAGAAGTGGCCCGGCTGCAGAGAAGCAAGAAGAGGAGAGCGATTCCGAACCCGATCAGATCGATCATGACTCTCAGTGAAGCTTTGGTGGCTCAGGAAGCCATTCCCCGAAGTAGAAGTCAAGAAATGCCCGTTGTGCTGAATTATGCGACCGAGGAGGATGTAAGGGGCTACGCCCCGATGTGTAGATCTGGCATGGCCAGACTAGTCACGTGCGAGCGCCACGGACACGACTCCTAAAGGGAGCGATGTAGACACGTCTCCCCTTTACACTCTTTGTAGCTCAATTTACATCAATTACGCCCAGCACCTGTGCCAACAGTGCTGACCCCGTAACAGAGGAGAAGGTCTCAGAGGTGGAGACAGCTACGGTGGCCGAAGTCACGGCGGCCTCTAAGGCCCTTCCTGTCACCACTAGATGTAGCGAAGTAGTACAAAAGCGCATGCACAGATACGAGTATTCATTTCTCTATAGAATGATATAATTTTCATATTTATATTCTTGAGTTCTGCTCATATTTTGTGTAGTTCAAATGGCAGACTTTTGGTGGGAACTTTTTCAATTGCGCTACCGAAAGAGGGGTGTTACCGAAAGAGGGGTGGGGGATGGTATTAATCGGCCGCATGGACGGAGCGGCGATAGCCACCGGGAGCATCGTAGTCGTCGTTGGCCGCTTCCACGGAGCGGCGATAGCCACCGGGAGCATCGTAGTCGTCGTTGGCCGCTTCCACGGAGCGGCGATAGCCACCGGGAGCATCGTAGTCGTCGTTGGCCGCTTCCACGGAGCGGCGATAGCCACCGGGAGCATCGTAGTCGTCGTTGGCCGCTTCCACGGAGCGGCGATAGCCACCGGGAGCATCGTAGTCGTCGTTGGCCGCTTCCACGGAGCGGCGATAGCCACCGGGAGCGTCATAGTCGTCGGTCTTCTTCTGCTTCTTACGATAGGACGGCCTGCGCCTATGGGCCGCTTCCACGGAGTGGCGGTAGCCAGTGTCGTACTCTATGTCCCTCCGGCTAATTTCCTGAGTGGGAGCGGCAAAGATACCAGTGACGAGGCACATGGCGACCAAAGCTCCGGTGCTGTACTTCATCGTGCTAGGTTAGATTTTGGTTGATTTAAATGTAAGTAATTGGTAAAATGCAAGGAGCTCAAAGTCCAATGTTTTCGTGAAAATTTAGAGGAAGCGGTTTCTGAAAGTCCGAGTCCAATCCTTAAGCTGTCTTGATTGATAGGTGGTGAGTGAAAAAAAAAAATTCGAAGCGGCTGATGCTCATTCTTTATACTTAGATAATACTATGCGCTCTCTTAGCGTAGGCAGGCGTCTAACTTAGCATAGAAGTCATGCGAGGGGCCTAGACGTCTAGCTCCGACAGTTTCAGCAATAGCGTCTATAGCTGGGAGAATACTTAAAAGAAAGGCTAGTAGTGAGCCTAGAGGGTATTGAGAATAGTCCATCTATGTTAAACACGCTGGTTAGCGAATAAAGAGAAGATTAGCACCGTTTGGAATGCCGAGGCGAGGAGGCTGCTAGGTAACAAGGAGACGAACGTCCGTAGAAGTAAGAATCTTAATCAGCGGGCTATCTAAAAGGGCTAAGGCGGAGACCTAACCCGAAGTGATATATATCAAGGAATGTCAAGGAATGCCAAGGAATGTCAAGGAATGCAAGGAATGTCAAGGAATGTAAAGGAATGTAAAGGAATGTAATAAAATACTGCGCCACACCTTGCACTTTAAGCTGTGGTGCAAGGCGTACAATCAGCCGAAGGCTGCGAGTCTGGCTACAAGTCGAGCAGTCACCGAACAATCAGTACAGTATCTGCAATCATACAATGATCTGTGCCTTGGAAAGTGTCGTTCTTGTCGCGACTAGCATCAAGTGGAGTTACGTAGATGTCGGATCTCACTACGAGGCACGCACGAGGGACAAGTCGTATGTGAAAGCCAGTGGGGTAAAAGAGGTCTCTGTTCTTGTTACAAAAGAGAGTAAAGAGCGTTGGGTGTCCACTGACCCAGGGTGGTTTTCCATATCTAAATATGGAAATACCCTTTCCATGAAGGCCCCCTTTCCGCTCCCTGTGCCCGATTTTTAGTCTCCCTGTGCACCTTACCGTATTAGGTAGAAGCATCGCGAATCGGCCAAGACTTGCATTTGTGTGTGCAACACACCAATTAGAAGGTAGTCACGGATTGTAGAGTCTTTGCGTTGAACATTGTGAATTTGAAGCTATTCGCACATTTCCTTCATATCTTCTAGCCGCATTACAAGCTCATACGGCTGCCGCATTGCGTGGCCTCTTTTCCGCCGTGGCGAGCGTTCCCCCTTTCCTCTAACTGTAGCGTTACTTAGCTGCGAAGCCGGGAGCGGCATGAATCCTCCTTCCACTGATGCAAGGGTGCTAGAAAGAGGGGTCGAGGACCCAAGGGTAAAGAGACGAGGGCGCTCGCGATGCCCCCGCTGAGACCCTCCTTGAGGCCGCGGCCGCGGCGGCTCGTGATATTCGAAGGCGGAGGGTAGTCGCCGCATAAGTTGGGTGGCAGACTCTGAGCGCCGGAAAGTCTGCGGCTGCTGGTATGAGGTCGGCTGTGTAGGCGTTTGACGGATCACGATGTCGGCTTGTGGTGTTGACGTTGCTTGTGGTGTTGACACCTGTCACGGGCTGTGCCCGGCTTGGTGGACCCGGTTGTACCGGGTCCGGTGGGTCGTGCTCGGGTGGCAGTACCGGCCCCGCTCCGCGGACCCAGAAGCTGCGAGAACATTCTGTGAAGGGCAATATAAGCTCGCACTCGAGGCGTAGCCTCGAGTTCGGCTTCCTTTCCTCCTTAGCTCTAGATAGACAACACCTAGGCACCTGCTTGTTGAATAAACTCCGGGCCAGCCTTTCACAACACCGGCCACGAAGCTATAGCCGGCCCAATGCCAAGATAGTTGCCAATAGCCTCAAGCCGCGAAAGCACTGTCTGCAAGACTGGCTGCCGCTGTTGCTGTTGCCCGCGAGGCTGTGGCTGTTGCGAAGCTGGTGGGGTAGCTGCTGCTGCCGCTGCTGACTGTAAGGGGCTACGCCCCGATGTGTAGATCTGGCATGGCCAGACTAGTCACGTGCGAGCGCCACGGACACGACTCCTAAAGGGAGCGATGTAGACACGTCTCCCCTTTACACTCTTTGTAGCTCAATTTACATCAATTACGCCCAGCACCTGTGCCAACAGTGCTGACCCGTAACATATTGAGCTACCAGTTAACAAAAGACAGGACAGACAGAAGGACAGACAGCAGGACAGACAGCAGGACAGACAGCAGGACAGACAGCAGGACAGACAGCAGGACAGTCAGCAGGACAGACAGCAAGACAGGCGATAGGCTAAACGACGAGACGGACGATCGATCGGACGACGAGACGGACGAACAAGATGGAGGACAATAGTAGTTATGCAGGGCACCGCGACCGGCGGCGCAACGAGCCGATGGAGGGAAGGAGCAAGAGCTCTTGCAGATCTTATCTGGGATCGCGGGAGACGAAGAACTGCGGAAGATGTTCACCGGGCTAGGCCTAGCAGCGCCACCGTTGACACCCAGCCCGGGGTGCTCAGTACCCGGCGATCTTACCCGTCGAACCGAGGCCGGAAGCAGCCCAGGAAATGGACCGTGGCAAGAAGCGCAAGCCGATGACTTGGCCGAAGTGGAACGGTCAAGAGTCCTTCCACTTCTACCTCGACCGTCTGGTATTTAAGTACAATACCGACGAAGAGGAGGGCCTAAACGGCAATAACAACGTCGTGTGGTACGAGATCCTGCAGACCTTGCCGGATCAGATGATGAGGAGAGTCGAGGGTTTTTGGAGGCAAGAGAGCGCGAAGGGCAACCCAGACCCCCGGAAATTCTTCTCGCACCTAGCCCAGACGTTCGGCAGCGTGCAGCAGACAGAGGGCGCAGGACAGGCTGCGCACCTCATTCAACGAGACAGCCAAGAGTTTGGGAAGTTCCTCCTGAATTCGAGGAAACATTGACCAAAGCGGGCGGCGCGAGCTGGGATAATGCTTCCAAGCTCGCATGGCTACGGAACTCGATCTCTCCTGCTCTCCGTGAGCAACTAGTCCCGGTTATCATGCCGAAGGACTACAACGAGTACATCCAACGTCTACACCTGATTGCTTGGGCGTTCGAGCACACCGCGAAGTTTAAGGCGTTGCAGAGGAAGCAGGGCTCCCGCGGGCAACGTGACCAAGGGCAGGCATCAGGCATCGGCAACATCCAGGTCGCCGGTAACGACAACACCCCGGCACCGTCAGCAACGTTACCCGCCGAGCAGAACGCACGTGACGCACGCGACCATGACGGCGACGTAATAATGACGGTTACACGCACTCAGGGGCAGGGTCAGAGAGGACGGGCGAACGGCCAGGGGTCAAGTGGAACGAGCAAGACGGTTCGCTTCCAGCCTAGGTCAGGACGGAAGCAACGGGCGAGGTGGGTATCCGAGGACGAACGGAATAAACGCCGTGACGAGGGTCGTTGTCTCCGCTGCGGCGACAACACCCATTTCATTGCCGCTTGCCCCTACTCGCCAGGACAGGACCCTAGCCGGTCGAGGGATGTAAAGTCCGCACCGCTAGGATCATGCCCTTGCTGGAAGATGATGGTAACGACTCTAGTGAGGAAGAGTCAGGACTTAGCGAGACCCCATCCCTCTCGGGAAATGCGTAGCCTCGAAACAAAGACGGGTCTCGAGGCCAAAGAACGGAGCAGTGGCAAAAGAAGAGAAGTTCTCAGGAAAAATGGAAGTTGGTCCTACAATAATTCGAAGCGTTATCAATAGGACCAATCTCTTCTCCTCACTCGTAGACGAGGGATGCCAGTGCTACGCCGCGGTTGACGAAGAAGTCGTCGAAAAGTTGGAAGTTCCTATAGTGGAAATAGCACCGCGAGCTATTACAGGAGCATCAGGGGCAATGGAAGGAGCAACGATTAGGGGCCTCGTATGGCTATCAATGGAGGTCAACGGCCACATACAGACGATCTGTGCCTACGTGGTGCCCCGATTGGAATTCCCCCTAATCCTAGGAAAACCCTGGTTATGCCACACAAAGTCGTACTCAGTGCCCCACGAGAAACGACTATGGCATGAACCTACACAAGACTGGGTAGATCACCTCGGGAAGGAGAATATTCTGCGAAAGCCAAGGAGTTCGAAGAAGCAAAGCACGTACTAGCCAGTACCTTTGTGGGTTACTTTGAAAGGATCCGCAAGCAGGAAGGAAGAGAGGCAGCTGCCACGGCGATTTTCGCTATCAGCATGAAGGATATCGAAAGGGCGTTATCACCAAAGAAACCCATGTCAGAAGCAGAGCTACGCCGAACGATACCCCAGCGGTTCCACGATTTACTGCCTCTATTTATGAAGAAGGAAGCTGATAAGCTGAATCCTCATAAGCCAGGCATAGACCACGAAATCAGAATCAAGGAGGACCCGAATGGCCAGCAGTTACCACTACCGTATGGAGCACTATACGGTATGTCACGAGAGGAACTCCTGGTTCTTAAGAAGACTCTACGAGACCTAGTGGATAAAGGATTTATCCGTGCAAGCAGTTCAGAAGCAGCAGCTCCAGTCCTGTTTGTGAGGAAACCAGGTGGCGGGCTGCGATTCTGTTGTGACTACAGAGCGTTGAACGCAATCACTAAGTCGGACCGTTACCCCTTCCTCTAATAGGACACACTTCGCAACCTAAAAGATGCGAAGTGGTTCACTAAGGTCGACGTGGTACAAGCGTTCCATAAAGTACGGGTTGCAGAAGGAGACGAGTGGAAGACAGCGTTCCGCACCCGGTACGGTCTCTTCGAATGGATGGTTACCCCGTTCGGGCTAAGTGGCGCGCCAGCAACCTTCCAGCGGTATATTAACGGTATCCTACGAGACTACCTCGACGAGTTCGCCTCTGCTTATATGGACGATATACTTATCTATTCGAGCGGGAGCAGAGAAGACCATTTCCGGAAGGTACGGTTAGTTTTAGAACGCCTCGCCGAGCATGGACTACACCTAGACCCGGAGAAATGCG